CTGGGAACAGCACCGCTCCTCCAGCGGCCACCATCAGGCCCCGCACCCTGAGTAGGAACAGGGTACTTTTTCTTAATTTTACAAGGGTGTTTATGGCCTTACCCAGTCTTTTGACATTCTCATTCCAGAAAGGATTATTAATTTAATGCTTTTTTCTTTTATTAATCACATGTAGTCTACCAGCTATGTAACTAACTACAAATAGCCCCTAAAAATGGCAGTAGCTAATTGATCTTATAAAGATCCAGATTTTATACTTGTTGAAGATAACATGGTAGCTTTTCCTCTCTAGAATTAAGATATATCTCCAGCCAAGAGAAGTGCTGCGTGGTAAAAATTGTAGCCTATTTTATATATTTTTCTTTGTTTTTCTAAAGTATTCAGTTTTTAAAAATTACTATCAAAGCAACAAACGTCCCATACCATAGTTATCTGAAGTATTACATATTTGGCAGAGTTAATTGTTCACCTTGTTATGAGTCAACCTCAAAGCTCACACAGATACAAACGAGTTTTCACTAAGGGGTGCTTAATTCTTCTGAACCCTCTGGGCTTGGCCATCATATTCACTGCTGGCACAAAGTAGTACACTCCCACCGAATAGTTTCACCTATTTCTGTCACCTCTGGGCCTTCCTGATGACCTTGTGGTAAGTTACACTGACTGTACAATGGGGATAACATGAGCCTGCACAGGTAGGTGTTCTTAGTGTTTCTCTGACTGGCTTTAGCTGGCATGCCTTAGGTCCCAGCATACCCCTTGAACTCAGGGTTGGCACAGTACAGTGAGTCCATGACCTTCCAGGGGAGGTTTCTAAGTAACCAAGGGAGTTGTTAGAAAGGATGAAAAAAGTCTTCATGGCTCTCCAAATATTGAAGAGTCAGTCCTTCAGATGAGATCTGGGAACCACCAGGTCTTCAGAGTCTTCTCAGAGATGAATTTGGCTGCAGTAACAAGTCACCTCCCAAAGGCTCACCTCGTGCTGGAGACTGATGGATGAACCACTTAAGGGTCTCCTGCAGTCTGCAGTCTTTGCACTCTCCCTCTCATCACTGTGACCAGCATTGCTGCCCCACAGCTCAAACTGAGACAGGAAAAACTCTCAGACCTCTCCAAGTCAAGGAAATGCAGTTTTAGGATGGATGACTGCTTACTTGGTGAGGTGAGATGTACCAGCAGTGTGAGGGGTGTCCTCTATGTTTAACGCCAGCCACAGCAGGACAGTAGTAACCAGCAGAGCTCTTGAATGAGATAGGCTGCTTTTCTGCAGGTCCAGTCTCCTCCTTTGGCCCAGCAGAGCCCCTTCCCCTTATCAGTCACAGGGAGCCCATCTTGGCACAGAAAGACAGTAACGAGAGTTGGTGTCACAGGAACATTTGTCCAGCGTCATTTCAGTGTCTCCCATTTTTTACCAAAAGCATGTGTTCTGCGCTATTGCTATGTGAAGCACCTCCCAGACAGTGAAGAAAGGGCTATCCCTGGGACTGGCAGACACAGTTAGGTACCTCATGCCCAGTTCCTACACACTTGCCTTGTACTGACTCTCTCCCTGTTTTCCCTCCCAAAGCCTTCAGCATCCCTGAGGTGCTCGTAGTGAACAGCAGCAGTGGGGACACGTTGCAGTGTGAAGCACTGCGCTGGTTCCCTCGACCCACTGTGCACTGGACAGTCGACAACGGTGCCGGGGAGCACCTCCCTCACACTGCCAACACCAGCTACGAGCTGAACGCTGAAAACATCACTCTGAAAGTGGTTTCCTTTCTCCACAACATTACTGCTAATGCCACCTACACCTGTGTGATTGAAAACAACATTGCCAAGGCTACAGGCAACATCAAAGTGACAGGTAGAGTTTAACACCATCCAGAGACCACAAGTGTGGGGGAGAAGAGAGTTTAAACAGTGCCTGTGTAAACTGGGAGGTTCCTGCAGCACCTGTGTCAGTCAAGGAAGGGACTGAAAGCACGGCTAATCCAAACACCCCTCTCTCTCTCTCTCTCTGTTCCTGGGATGAAGCAAAGGGTCTGTGTTTGGTCCTGCTATTTCTTATGTTTTTCATGGTAATGATTGCTCTCTTGGCACGGGGACAGAACTGCCAGGGAACCAGAAGAGATAAACTTCAGAAGAATATATTCCTTTGAATGTTAACCAAACCAACCAAAACCCACAACTTTTGACACTTTCTTTGGCCAGTTCAGCTTAGATCCTGCTTCTGTACCAAACCAGCAGGCCCCTTTACCTGTTCTTAATGACAATCTCTCTGACTCCAGCCCTATCCCTTTATTTAAGAGGCCACTTTATTCACAGAAAATCAAACTTTCCAAAGAGCCTGAGTATCTTCTCCTGTTCTACATGAGAAGGGTCACAGCTCTTCTACAGTGAGGGCTTCATTGCAATGAGTCTCCACTACAAGAGGCAGAGTCTCTATCTTTATCAATGTTCAGAAAAATAGGAAGGAATAAATATACACACATTTTTCCTTCCCTGCTGCGTTCCCATTCACTGCGTAGCCTCTCACTATTCTTCTGCTACAGATTTCAGCAATACAAGGTGGACTACCTTGCAGCTGGTGAACCTGAATGCAGAGTCAGTGTCATCCTCCTTTCCAGCCTGTCACTGGATGCTTCTGCTTCCCCTGTATCTGCTGTCGATATAATGCCTCTGAAACAATCGGACACTCTGCTGGGCCTGGAGGTAAGTTTGGAAAGGGAAACTCATAAGCATACATGCTTGACGTATATGTAGACCCTCTTGCTGAGTTTGGTTACAGCAGCAGAGCCTGCCAGAATGGGAGGACACATCTTTCTGCTGCCCCATCCTTGCCTTGCTTGTACCCACTTTACTCAGACACCTCCCCTGTAGAGTGCAGTGTCTTCAGTAAGCAGTACCTACTACGGATGCCCTGAACAGGGCTAGAGAGCACTGCCAGCCTGAGCAATCCCACACAGACCTGGAATAAGGAGGGCTGTAGACAGCACAGGACAACTGCCTTTAGTATTCATCGGCTTTGGCTTTGGGTGAGGTGAACTGGTGGAGAGCTAAAGAAAATCAGCTAAATGGAACATCTCTGTCTTTCCACACAGAATAGTTATTCCAGCTATGCTGACACCAGGACACACTTCAGATTTTGCTCCCTCTTGGGCTGAGAACTTCAACGCCTTCTCCCAGTTCCAGAGCATGTAGTAGCACAAACATGAAATCAGATGATTTCTCTTGAATTATTATTTCTTACCCACCAACAACAGGATACTTTGTTTGGCTCCAGAAGGAGAGCAAGGAATGCGATAAGGAGAATTGTATAAAGGAAGAGCTCTGATTGCAGGAACAAGATATGTTCTCTGGTCTGAAGTAACCCAGTGACCAGAACTCTGATCATGGGCAGAAGCTCAGAGACAAACAGGAAAAGGGTTTCCTGCAATACATCTGAGAATTGTTCCTTCTGAGCACCAAAACCAAGCAAATCCTAATTGGCCCCAAACAGATTTGAGTGCCCTGTCTCTTGGCCTGTGATTCTCTGACTGTACTAATAAAACTGAAAACAAGAGAGCCAGTTAACCTCCTCAGTCTTCTTGGAATACTGTAATCAAAATCCGAAAAAGATGTTGTGAATGGCAAAACAGCGATGGGTTAGAAAACTGCTAACAGGCTTGGAATAACCTGGCAAAGGCAAACCATGTCTGAAGTCCTGTATGACAATTGATGACTGTATTTGTAATGCAAAATAAAAGAGGAAGATGAGTCCTCAGTGTGGCAGCAGACAGAAAACCAACATACAGAATGAGGAGAAGTAGACTTGTAATACTACTGGAAAGTTCAAATTCAGAAGCAAAGTTATTAAACATAGATATAACTATACAGCCAAATTTTCCTTTTTTGTTTTTTAAATAAGTGTTACCTAGCACTTCTTATCTATTTCTGTAGAACTGCTGTTACTGTGTTATACATATTACTTTCAGTTGCAATTTTTAATCAGATTTTGATCTCTATCTTACATCACTTACAGTCAGCATTTTCCTCAGGCTGAGATAGTTTATTTTTAGGGTTTTTTTTGTTTGTTTTGTTTTCTTTCTGGAGGGTGGCAGATAAGCTTTAGCAAAGTCTTTACTGTTTCGCAGAAAGCATCTACAGAAAATAAGGCTGCCACAGCAAAACTTATGTAACCTTTCAGGATGGAGTCTGAGAACTTTATTGCATGGCCAGTGACACAGTCAGGTCTTGTGTCACTCGTGCCTTGGTCTCAGAAGTGGACAGCAGGCCTTGAGAAGGAAGATACTTTACACATGCCCAATAAACCCACTGCCTGACGTTTTAATATGTAGCTCAAACTAAGGGGAAAGAGAGAAAGGCAGGGGGGAAACACCGAACAAACAAAACTCCAAACAGCAGCTGCTCAAACATACTGTCAAGTACTAGACATCAAGTTAAGGCACGGAAGTAACAGTGTGTGGAATTTACTGGCCTGGAGAGCAAGATGAAGGATGTGGGTGCTATTTTGCCAAAAGCAAGTGCAGAACACTCAGTCATCAATGCAAGCAGATGGGAGAGGAATCTCTTGAGATGGTGATGTCCTATATGTTGTTTTGGCTAGTCTGTTGTGCCACCACGGATACTGGCACTGCCATGGCAACTCCTTCCTGATCAGGAACAGATGGGCAAGCCTGTGGCATGCTGTGAGTTTGTATCACAGCCCATTGCCTGCCTCTTCTTACCAGCCCCACATAATGTTCAGGCTGCTGTTTAAGCTGCTATGTCCAAATAATCTTGTGATTTACTATCGTAATTTGGTCTCCATAGAGTAACTTATTCACTTCCCTTCTCTTCTCGAAGGAAATGCTTTAAAAGTGTAATTTTAATAATTTCAATTAGGTTAAGAAGACCATACCTTGGGGCAACTGTATAGTTTTGTTACTTACAAAATGCCTGTCTCTGGCTCATAAACCAAGGATCTATGTTCTGCCTCATTCCCCATCTAGTAAGTAAACCTTAATACTAAAATAGAGTGTTTTTAAAATACTATTTTAATAGCTTTATTTAGTAGATACTACCAAATAAAATACACACATTGTGTGCCCTAGGCCTGAGGCAATGGCTATCACCTAGGAAGCATTGAATATTTTTCTTCCAAAACGTAGCCCAGTAGCACTGGTGGACAATGGTCTAGAAGGACCATTCAGGAATTCCACAAGTCACAGTAGTTTCTTGATTGCACCCTTCACCCTGTGCTCACGGGCCTGTGCTCCCACTGGAAAGGAGATAAAAAAAGCTCCCAATCCCAGCAGGTATTTCCATAATTCTTCTCCCAGTGGAAGAGATGTTAAACAGTGTCTCTCACTCAGCAGTAACTGGATGTCCTCCTAATCCTCTCACTGTTCAGATAGCGTAAGGCATCTTGTTCCACTTCCTCCACATTCAGGCACAGCAGGCTCAGACGAGGTCCCACTTGTGACACAAACTCCACTTCACCACACCGAAAATTTCTCAGCTGTGCTGGAGCTGAAGGGGAAAGGTACAGCCAGCAACAACTCAGTACAGGGCTGTGGCTCTGTTCTAGCACACCACTGTAGAAGTTGCTGAGGGAGGTAAGGCCTTGCAGCAGCTGCTTGGCATCTCCTAAACCTCAAAGGACACCACGATTAATGAATCCAGGATGCAGGCAGATTAATGCATTTGGCCAGCATCCCTCTAACGGAGGAAACAGGCATTGGCAGCATGAAATGCTGTGAACTATGTGCTGCTCACATAGCTGATGCACTGAGCTTTGTATCTCCTATCAGTATCAGCAACCTGGCCTGACAGACAGGGCACACAACAGCCAAAAATAATGTCTCTCACAGCTCCTCTGGTGATCTTAGCAAATCAACCCCTGCAGCACCTGGACTCATTCTGAAGCACTAGTATTGGTGCAAACAGCTATGAAGAATATCCCCTTAACACAGCAACAGCACATTCGCGGCAGCATTAGCTCGGACCCCAGCACCCACGAATTCAAAACACTTCAGTGCTTTAAATACTGTGCCCATGGTGTGGATTTTCAGGCCTAGTCTTGACTCTACATGCTGTCCTGTCTAAAGTCAAACACTTGATTTGAGAGGTCTGCACAGTACCCGGCAACCAGATTCACGACCCATCCAAGGACTGGTAACCTTGTTCTAAAACAGCTCTATATTTCTTTGTAAAGTAGAAAATTTCATATATGTTGTTTTAGATAGTGACTTTTGTAATATTATTTCTGTATATTTATAAGCATGGATCTGCTAAGACACATCTTAGCTCTGCACTACAGAATTCACAATTCCATGGAAATCGTTCAGACCTTCCTTTGTGGGCAGCAAAGGCACCTCTCCTTCCCCAGCCTGGTGAGATGTCTCCACCCTTCCTTCCCATACTAAATATTAGAAAAGCCAGCAGTGCTTGCTTACCAGGCTGCAAGATCTTGGAGGGCTTCCTGTCTAGGCTGAAATCCAGCAGGATAGGACGACAGATGAGAGGACTCCTGCACAGACTCCTTAGGTAGCAAGCAACAATATCCTCAGGTTCCTCTAGACACTGAGGAAGGAAAGGGTGTGTTGCCAGAGAGTGTTCAGAGTGAGGTAGGGAGCTTCTGGAACACCCACAAGCAAAGGGAGATTCAGTTCAGCTGAGGCTGCAGTTGCTACTGGAATAAGCCACTCACCCCCGTGCCAGTAGCTTCCCCATGCTGAATGGACATGCTGCCCCTGCTCTGCACACAGTTCTGCAGAGCTTCCCACTCAGGAAGGCTCAGGCCCAGCATTGCTGCCACATGTTCATTCCTGCACAGCACCACAGCTTCACCTGTTCCGTCCTCCACCAGCACCCTGTGGAGAGAGCAGGCAGGGTGAGATGCAGAGGGAGGTCAGGACAATGCCTGGCTCCTTCACAAGGGTTACGCCCCAGACAACAGATCTCAGTAAAGCGAGAGGGAGGTTTGTTCACATCTCAGAAGACATGACACCTCTAACTTCTACCTCTGCTATTCTGTCTACATTCCATCCTTGGTCTGATTTCCCCCCTTCTTTTTGTGGTGCAATTTGCTCCCTCCTTCCCACGTTTCCCACACCCAATCTCTACAGAGCTTACCGTGCACTGGCTTGTCTCACTCCTGTGTGTGATGGACATGGTGGATTGTGTCGGGTGCACCTCCCCTGAAGGAAGAATAAAGCTACAGCTATGTATGGGTGGGTATAAGAGAGAGGGGGAAGGGACACTGCTTTTTAAAAATTCTTTCCTAATTAAGTATGCAAAGGATTAAAGAATTGCACTGCATTTCCAATGAGTATCTTGGGAAAAGTTTATATGGGGAGAAAAATCACCTCCTGCGAGATGCTGAAGCCCAACAGCAGTGAACACAGGAAGAGCAGAGCACTAACAGAGTAGGATTCTCCTCTTTCATGTGGTCACTTCACCCCCAGTCCTACCTGTCAGCCTGCCTGGCATTAGATATGTACTTCTAATCCATTATCACTTTGGTCCCCTTCTAATATGCAAGTCCTTCTTAGACACTGGGAAAAGAGGGCTTGGAATTGGGATAGGAACTCTTATTTCTTTAACATGGTAGCAAAGGATGTGTCAGAGTAGATAATCTGCAAGACCTCTCACAAATTATCTCTGTGGAAGCTTGAATACCTCCTTGAAAACGCTGCTGCAAAGTGAGCAAACCCACTGCAGGTACACAGTCAGTACACAGGACAAGTGGCATAAAATCCGTGCCCGGGGTAGGTTTTGCAGGTGAGGTCGTAAGTTGGACAGAAACACTAGTGAGGGGGATGAGGCTTCTCCTGCAGGACTAGAAGAAATAGGAATTTGAGAAGCTTAGAACATAGAAACTTTTCCAAGGACACTGTAAGGTGAGAACAGACCCTGAAGTTACCTGGAAGGAAAGAGTAGGTGAGAAGCTGGCAGAGATATGATGCTCACACAGCTGCAGGCAATGTATGTGCAATAAACATTATGAAATCTGCAATATGAAAGAGTATATGTCAAAAAGAGCTTGTAGAAACTAAATGTTCAGTTTTCTTGGGATGACTGGGCTGATCTTCATTCGTAACATGGTAGGAAAATAATTTGTAGAAAGGGATTTGGAGGCATGAAGGTATAGACAAGGGATCAAAGCCCACAGGAGAGATGTTAAGAGATGTTAAGGTTAAGAGAGAGTTTAAAAGAGAGGTCAGAGCCTGGATCAGGGCTCTAAAGACAGGGGTACCTTGAGATTTTGCGTTCCAGGTTCTGGAAGAGGATCTTGGCTCCAGGTAGCAAACCCCAGAGATGCTGCAGATAGGTGGCAGTAATGTAAATGTCCATCACAACAGGGGAGCCTGGAGCAACCGAGACGCTGAGCTTCACACTGTGATCACTGGCTAGCAGGTTCCCTGAGGAGGCATGGAACCACACACCCCATGAGCTCACTCACACACAGGCAGCACACACAATCACTGAGCTGGACCTGCTAGAAGTGTTTTTCCTCCCATCACAGTGTTCCGCCTCACAGGTTTTCCAGGTACAGCATTCCCATCCCCACACATGCAGTGTGCAGCTTCCTGGCCCTCTGACATGCAATGGGATGCAACATCCTGGCATACTTCCACTATTCTCAGATACAGCAGCACAGTTAGCCAAGTGCATTGCCTCTCTGAAACAGAAAGGAACAAAAATCAATCTGTTGTAACTGGATAAGCTGTCACAACCTTACCTTTCTGCCTTGGAAGGCGAACAGTCACAGATGGCTTCTCATTCTTGGGAGAGGCACACAAGGTCCTCTCCACTATCTCACCAGAGAAAGAAACAAGGGAACCTGTAAAACTGAGAAGAGACCAGGATTTTTGTCCTGCCTGAAGACAAAAGTAGTGGAGGAGGGCCTGACTTGAAGATTGCAAAAAAGGACTGGGTGAAGTGCTGTTGCTTGAGCCCAGTCTCAGAGGAACCTGTCCTTGAGCACCTGAGCTACTGGAGTAGCTACCAGCTTGCTGCAGTCTACCCCATCCAGGGACAAGAGGCCCCTTTAACTTGCTTTCTGCCTCTTCAGGTTCAGCAGTGAAGAAGAATAAGGCATTACAGCCTATCTGCTTAACTCCTAATTGTTTTTCTTAATTAGAGGAAGAAGCCAAGGAAAGAAAAACAGTTTATTGTAAGGCACTGGTGAAAATTCCAGTGTGCATGCATATCACCCCAGATTAAACATGCTTTGAACAGAAAAGCTTCTAATTCTAGTATTTTTTGAGTAAGTTATGCTAAAATAATCTACAAACAACAAAAATAAGTCATATATTCAGTCTCATTTTCCCTGCTGTACCTGTTTCCACTTCTGCCAGGAATTTAGCAGAGAACTTTGGATCCTAGTCCATACCAGCAGCAGCTGAAACATTTTCTAGACACTATTTTGCAGTGTCCAGAAATCCGTTTAGCTTTGATAACCAGGAGGGGAGAGGTGTGGACTGCTTCCACACAGGAATATTTCCAAACCATATTTTTAGAGTGTTAATTGCTGTTTAATATAGCACTGTTTGCAATAAAAATTAATACAGACCCATTCCCTAAGACACAGTCACTTGTAATTTGGGGGAGACCAACATACCTGCTGCTAAGCACTTCTGGAATGGAGAAAATTCTCTGGTCCACGCCTGTCAGCACCATCCTGGCTGCCAGCTAGAAGTGAGGGAGACATAGCCTCAGACAGATTGCAGTTTACAGGTATCCCCAGCCAGAGCAGTGAAGACAAGTCCTGCACACTTAGAGGTCAGTCAAGCAATTCATGCTTCCTCTCCAGATTAATTCTGAGGCAGAAAAATGTGAAGCCCGGCAGCAGCTTCTGATGGAGCTTCGAGCAGAACGGGACCATCAACAAGATACTCTGTACTGATAATTTTCTCGCTAGTTTTGGACAGATCTGCGAGTCATCTGTGAAAGCCCAGAGCAATAAGGCACTGCATACCTGGCTCTCAGGCAGACGGGAGATCCAAGTCTCATGCTGTAAGTGCCAGGTATCTTGGACAGGCAGGCACAGGGGGCAAGATGGCCTGGTCAGGAAGGTTGCTGGCACAGGTGGAAAACAGAGCTTGTCAAACACTTCCAAATCCTGAGGTAAGAGTGACAAGGCAAGACAAGAAGACTATTAAAGGAAGGAGCTTAAAGTTATTTAGGGAAAAAGGGGAAGAACAATGGTTTAAAGAACAAAAAAAAAAAAATCCACTGAACTCAGAGCTCTGAGAATTTTAATCAAACACAGAACTGAAGCAGTTTCTTGGCAAGACAAACGGAAATTCCAAGCCTCGAAAACAGCTTAGTCACCCTCTGATTCCTCGACTCTCGCATGCAGTTCAGCAAGTCTCCTAGAGGAAACAGCAAGACGACGTCTCTCTTACCGAGCAGCAGGGCACAATGAAGCGATACAGTCCATCCTGGTGCAGAAATGGAAACCATCGTAGAGACTTTCCCAGAAAGAGGAGCAGTGCCTGGTGAGGGAGGGAAGAGAGAGAGAAGGTGATGAGAAGTGTTAGGAAAAAGGCACAAAATGAAAAATACAGCGAGAGCAAGCCCAGCCCAGGCAACGTCTTGATAGAGAAGTAAGATTAGCACAACTAAGGGTATGAGAAAGTAGATGCATTTACAGGAAGGCGACAGAGAGGAGCTGCAACTTCCTTGGGGTGGCACAAGAAAGTTGCCTGCATAAACACACATCTCTACCAAACACGAAACCCACTTTCCCATTGATTAGTAATCTAATAATAATGGCCAGTCTTCGCAAGCGAAGATTTGGGAAAGGTCATTAACCCTTCGAGCCTGCGCAGTGGATTTTTTAGGTGAGACACAGCGTGCGCTGAACTGAGCCCACCCTTTAATCCTGAGGTTCATCTGCCGGGGCCGAGCACGCTTGGACAGTGGCAGTGAGGTTCTCAGAACGTAGGTTTGTTTAGAGTGACCTTCTCTTAGATGGATTGCCTTACAGGGCTGACGAGCTCCATCTGCCCGGGGGGCCGGGAATCGAACCCAGGTCGCAGCGGTGAGAGTCCTGCACCCTAACCACTAGACCACCAGAGGCCCCGATTAGTAATCTAGGTACCTAATTATCTACAGGCTCCCTGAGGAGCCACCCCCACCCCCCCACTTCCCTCCCCCTGACCTATCAAACCACACTGCAAAGCTGCCTCACTTCTTGCTGTGTCACGCCCTCTTCTCCATCACAACTGGTGTCCTCCAGCTCTGGTAGATTCCCAATTTCTCTAGGGTGGCTCCACAGCCGAGGTCTGCCCAGCCACAGCACTGTGGCCTGGAAACTGCGCTGCAGCTCCTGTCCTTCTCCATCTTCTCTGGGTAGTTGGTAATTGCGTAACATAAGCCCCTCTTTCTGGATAACCAAGAACAGGTGAGATACACAGCTGGTTGTTCCAGTGCTACTCTGCCCCCCCTGACAGTTCTCATCTCTGTGAGTATCTGACTTGGGATCCTCCAATTTCAGCACTTTTGCCTCAGGAGCTTCCAGCTCAGGCGTTACATCGTCATCTTTCTTCTTCCTCAAAGAGGAGCTGTTTTCACTCCTAAGGCCTTTCTGAAGTTGTCCTTCAGCAGCATGGAGAACCTGAACATCCTCAAAGTAGAACTGCACATAGACACTGAAACAAAAAATGATAGTAGTGAAACTCCCTGTCCCTGAGAGATGCCTGTCCAAAACAAATGACTATCTGGGAAAAGCACTAGCTGGGGAGTGCCCCACAGGTACTCATCACGAGCCATGGGAGAGAGGGAAGTAGAAGCCAGCTACTAGGCTGTGTGTATTCTGAACAAAATACAGATGGTGGGTTTGTTGCTGATAAAGAGCTCATTTTCTACAAATAGGAAAGGACAGTTGTTTTGGCAATGAAATGCTATGTTGATAAGAAGCTTTGCCCCAGACCCAAAAGAGTTGTGGAACTGGAGAGTCATGATTTTACTTGCATACTGAATAAAGGGACTCACCTGTTTTTTTTCTCCCTCACATGTTCAAGATTTTCCAGGTGCTCCCAGGAGGGAAAATCAGTCTGAAGGAATCTCTCCACTACAAGTTGGTAGTTTTCCACCTGCAAGAGTGATCCTGCAAACACATCAGAGAAAGGAGCTGAGCTAAATAAAAAGAGAACATAAAACCAGTAAACTCAATATCCTCATTTTAAAGTCACGAGGTCAGGCAGTGACAGTTCAGCATCTCCATACCAAGTCTCTTCTTCCTTGTTTTGGAGCTGAGTGGCAGAAGAGCAAAAGATCAGCACTCAAATACAGTTTAGTGAGACATACCTATGAGAGCTGTATTGGCAAAGGGGCTACCATCCTTCTGGGATATCACACAGGGAAGCGTGCTGCTCTTGTCCTGCAGCTGGAGCGAACTGCTCCTGGACGAGACCCTCAGCACACCCAGCAGTATCTGCAACAGAAAGGAAGCCACAATGAGCATCAAACAACTCCCATCTTTGAAACCCATAAATCAAAGTGTGTGGAGCAGCAGCTGAAATTCAACCTGTTTTCAACACATCTCAGCCAAAAAAGCGGTGTCATTTCTGAACAGGAAAAATAGGCATGCACTAGACAGGGTGCTGGAAGGCATGGAGGGATCTGAGAACTCTCAAGGCATAGGCAGTAAAGGGAACAAGGCACTTACTAGTCGGGGCTGGAAACTTCCCGCTGAGAGTGTGCAGTAGGACCAGACCAGTCTGCGATTCAGGTCCTGGGTGCCCATATGCTGTGCTTCCAAGGGAGAGAGCAGCTGTGATGGACTGAAGCCTTCCCAGCTCTTCTGTTGGGCTACATGGCAAACTGCAGACAGAGATGGGGCCTGGCATGGGGGGTCCAGAGTCAAATACTATGAAAAAAGAGAGAAAGAATGAATCAGATGATTTTCTTCCCATCAGACAAACAGCAAACAGCTCACAGAGCGTTTACTCACTTTCTGCAGGGGACAGTGGTGTACTTTTGCCAGAATTTCGTTATAAATATCTCTTGCTTTCTCTCTGTCTGGCACCATAGCTTGCAGAAGGGGGACAAGAAACTTTTCAGCAGCTCCTGGGTTTTGGTGAGTACAGCTGAGCAGTCGACGGCGCCCAAAGAAACAAGAAAACCTGAGGAGAAATTATGACTGTTAAAAACAGTAGCAGTCTTCACATTTTAGTGACTCTTGCATGTAAGTCAGGGATTCCTTCTGCTTGTTATGAGTGAATCCTCTGTATAAGATAGGAACTAAGGAGAGCAAAAAAAGAACATCAAGTAATTGAAAAAAAAAAAAAAGAACATTTAAGGCCAATGCAGATTCCTTTTGGGCAAGCAGACAAGGAGGAATAGGAAAACATACAGAAATGCATAGACTAACAAAATCTCAAAACTAAAGTAGCCAAAAAACTAAACCATGTGAAAATAATCTTCCTCTAAGTCATGAAAATGGATCTCCATGCATTTTGGCTAAGCTTGGTATCATTACTCATGTTAGGTACACTTGGCTTTCTTTTACAGGATGCAAAAAAATCACAAGGCAGAAACAACCACAGACTACTCTTGTTCCAATATTTTTCTCACGTGGTGTTCCTTTCAGAAGTTTAGATTACTGTTTTTGAAGGCCTGGAAGTGATCACACTGCCAGTCAAAATATGACTTAACAACAGAAAGTGAACTCTAACGAAAAGAGATAGCAACTAACTCCCTGGAACAATTTTCAAGCAGTAGCAGGACTTGGCAATCACGTTTGAAGTGAAAAAGAAAATAAAAAACCCGAAACTTACAGCTAGCACAATTCCCAGGGCAAAAATGAAGATGCTTTATTGGAAAGCATAGTAAAAATTCCACAGTGCCAGTAAAGGACAGGAACGCTGAACATTCTGTGAACTGCTGAAATTGATTGAAATTAAATATATACATTTTGAAGCCCAAGACAGCAGTTACAGTGATCAACCATAGTGCAGCCATCAGGGAGAGCAGGAAGCCACCTGGAAGACCCAGAGATAAGCATGGGTGGGAAAATCTGCTAAGACAGAGGCTCTCAAGCAAATGATCACACTACCAGCAACACTCAGAATACCTCAAAGGGATATGCTGAGCAGCTGCTGCCGCTTCTGTGAGCAGCCAGGACATGAGCCTTTGTATTGGTTGTGATCTAGTTGTAGCAGCATTTTCCAGCTGCAGCCTCAGTGTCCTTCTTGATTTGCCAAGCAAACCACATCGGCAGGCAGACATCCCTACAGTGCTTCTGTAATTCAGGACAAAACTTCCCAGGCAGGACTACATGAGCACAATGTCCTGGAGTGTTGCAGCTTCCCGAGAGCAGTGGGCTTGAAAACTGTACAAAATTTTCTCATAAGAACAAATGCAAAGTACAAGCAACTGGACATTGTGTGAAATCTAGATGAATAGCTTACTCAGGCTGATAAATCAGAACCAATAGCTGCTAATGGTATCCAAGCATAAAAATTTTGTGAACACTGGGTCTAGAAGATACCCAGGTAGTCTACAAAGCACATTTACAAATGGCCTGACTTCAGAACTGTCCTCACCTCTCCTCAAAGGTCTCCAGGAGGCTCACCAGCCAGAGGTAGAGTGACATATCAAGATTGTAGCGGAAGAGCAGCTGTAAGCAGAGATTTTCTGAAGAGGTCGGTGGCTGGTAGGGGGTGCTGAGCCTTGAAAACCTCTTCAGCACAACAGTGCTGCTCAGGCAAGCACCAAGTACAACGAAAGGGAAGGATACCAGAGGCTTCTGCAGGAGGTGGACATCGATGAGCTGAGATATACAGACGTACAACATAAGAGATAGTCTGCCACCACTCCCCCAAACCATCACCCCACCCTAAACTCTCGGTCACTCTAATGGATTGTCTATAATCAGGCCTGAGGCACCTGGCATGGTTTAGGAAGGAATCAGATAATAGTAATTTCAACTCTAATGACTGAGCCTAGACCGTAAGATCCCCAATTCTGTTCCAGATACTTCCTGACATAGTTCCAGTGTTGCTGGAGCCTTCTGTTGACCCACACACTAACAAGCCATCCCCAGGGCCTGAGTCTTTTCCACAAATGCTTTATGATTTGCAAGTCTCAACTTACTTCCACACATGCTCCTGGCCGCAGTCCACGTGCAGATTTCAACACTGGGAGGTAAGCAAGGCACAAGCAGACTTGGTTATCCAGTAAAAAGAGACCAGCTTGGACATTGAGTATTTTGGTGACAATTCCCTAAATAGCAAGCAAACAGAAAGTTACAGGAGTGTAGAGAGTTCCAAAATGTAAGAGACTCACAGGCCTGAGCAGTAAGGAAATAAACTCATGATGAAAATAAGTCCTTGCAGGCCATGAGCTGAAACCCTACAGGATGAGTGGGTGAAGGCTAACCCTACAAATCCTTACCACATAGGAGATGATCTTGGACTCTCTGGTTGATCTTGGCCCCTCCTCTTCAACTCCCAGCTCCAAGGAGCCACTGAGCTGCTCAGCAGTCTCAAGGGAAGAAGACTGAGTGGATTCTCCTTGCCAAGTACTGTTCAGTAGCTGCTCCATCACGTGCTCCACACAGTAGGGTAGAAGGCAGGAAGGAACACTCGTGACAAACGTCTTTTGTCCAGATTTCTTCAGGCTGGACATACTCAGGCCTGTTATTGTGTACCTGTGACCCAACTGGAGGACATGATGCCATGCCAGCTGGCTGGGTTCCTAGAGCAGAAAAAACCAAAAAGCGACATCAGCATCAACCACAATGAAAAAAATTCTTCCCTTCAGAGGATTGCCTCACACTCTTAGCAAAAGGGTGGCATCTGCAAGACGTTTACAGACATTGCAACTGCATGAGGTAGGAGGACACAGAACTAGACTTCTTACATACAGAGACTATTATAGCTGCATGGAATGTTAAAAAAAAAGATCATTAGAAAAGGAAGAATAAATCAAAATGGGAAATCAAGGGCAAGCTTCAAAGAATTAATCAACTAGCACATACACAGACTATGAATTCGTGAGCAAAATTCCAAGGACTCACCTGCACCAGCACAGGGACACAAACAGCTGAGGTGAAGCACTTTAGAAACAGAAAGAAGAAAGTCTTGTGGCGAACACAAAGGAGAGGCCCAAGTCTGATCAATTCACCTGCTACAGTAAGATTTGATCTTCTCCTACATGGAATCCTAGAGGGCAATTGAGGAGGCAGATGAAATCAGAGACGAAAGAACAACTCAAAAGTATCTCAAAAGCAAAATAAACACATATGCAGGATGCATTTTTTAGAAATAAAGGATCCAACAAGGTAATATGAACAATCTCTCAGAGAGGTTTTCAAAACAATATTTGGCTACAAAATTTGTACTTTAACTTGTATATACTAAATCTCTTTGATGTTTTAAAAAACCTTAATATTTGAAGACAGAAGGGTTATGTTGAACAAATTCACATGTTCATGACAACAATCAGATTATAAAAAGCTTCACCACAAACCGGATGCTAATTGTGGGTCTAAAGGAGAAGGAAAAAAGAAGTCACAAGCAATTCTTCAGCAGAAAACAGAATTTGGATTTGTAGATCCATGGAACGTGACACTGTGGAAGTTCTAAGCCTATAAACCAAGGAGGCCTGAAAGCAATAATGGAGTCTTTCTAACAAACTTGGCACAGAGTGAAAGAGCAGCAAAACTAAAAGCAGATGAGAGGAGAGAGAGGTGATATTTCTTTAATCTTTTCTGTTTGTCATTTCAAACTTTCATTTCAAAAATATGAAAAGAAAATTCAAACATATTGTTTGTAATTTTCATTTCAGCTCCTACTGGACTGGAGTATAACCATTCCACTTACTCTAAACAAACACATTCTTGATTCTAAAACATATAAACAATTATCTAACTTTATGACTTTGGAAAAAAAACAAAACCAGGATGTCCACAGACAGTAATACCAGCAATTCATTGTTAACATTTTTAAAGAAGGAACATGGAAAATTGGTCAGATATCAGTCAGTAGCAGAGGAGCTTTATGTTAAAAGCCTGAGAACATATACTGAAATATGGAACTAGTTTTCTTGTTTAGAGAGGTCCCTTGAGCAAAATCAAATACGCTTAAAATAAGTTTCTCACAGGCAGATAAACCCAATTAAAACAAAGGATAACTAAAAAGAAGCAGCATGACTAGTGACACTTTATTGTATACTGTAACTAAATTACACCAAGAATTCTCTGCTCAAGAAGATAAAACATGATCTAGCACAACCTGGAATTATCAACTTCAGTAAGATTTGTAATTCCATTGGCTACATTTTCACATACTGTAAACTAAAGAAAAGTTACTTTCATCAGTTGACATTTCACTGGTATCTTTATCTTAGTAATATGATAAAAACTTGACCAGTGGTATATATTAATTTCATATTACAATCTAGGCTTACTTTCAATTATTCTTCTGGTTCACTGGAGGCTAAAAAAAAAAAAAAAGTTACGCTAAATATTTTAGCCTAAAAGTTGAATTAACACTTCTTTCTCATATCCTCTCTGTAATATCAAAATACATCTGGAAATAATTTAGATTTGTCTTATTTTATCAAAATACAGAATAAAACCTTCCAATTAAGTCCTGGAAAACAGATGATTAATGAAAAGTGGCTTTATTGTTTTAACTTTTACTTCCACCACTCACCATTATGCTTCCACCTGTGGCAGAAACAGAATTTGTCTCTTCCTAAGCCAAGTGCTTTTCATGGTACCTGTCAAACCAGACTAACAGTGCTATGATGGAATTGAGCATATTATGTGTTTACCTGGAGTTGAGCAGTGGCTCAGCTGATGTTGGGTAGGTGACTGGAATGCTGTGAAGTACTTTGTTAGGGGTATTTACTGGCACTGGATCCTCCAGGATTTCCAAGTACCCTGCTGCACTCTGGTCTGTCTGTGGTATATATGACCAGCTTGGGAAGACGACCAGTGACTCCAGCCACTCAAGTTCAAAATGCAGGAGCTAAACCAAAAGATGAGATAAAAGCTTGAGATAAGTTACAGTATGTTTTCTCAATGTTACTTACAATATTCATTACGAATCCACCCTTCCAAGTGCATCACAAACTTGTCTACTGCTGGGCTTCATTACTAAATGAGAGCAGTGTTTTCTGCCCACTCTCTCATCTTGCATGGAGAACTTCTGTCCTTCCAGATGCAAACCTAGAAGAGATTTGCTGAGCTCTGCAGCCAGCATTTCATGGGTTATAGTAACATCCTCCCAGAAGGTGATAATTAATTCACTGCAAGGCTTAGTTATTTTCAGACTATTTTTCTAAAATTCTCACCTGCTCTCTTTTCCCCTGTGTTTTCAGTTAGAAGTTCATACCAATATAACTTTTTTCTAGTCTTTGCCTCCTTGGAAAGCACAGCTTCAGCTCTCTGCCATCACTACTCCCTTACCTAGACTCCCTTGCAATGACCTTCAGAAGGCTTTTAAGTCAATTGTCATGCTAACTATTATTTCCTGAAAGTTATCAATGCATCACTGAACACCCAGTACAACTCTCCAGAAAGTTATTTCTGCTCCACTAGTTGGAATTCAGCAAATAGAGAGGACGTCTCCCAGGCTGCCTTGTACTATGGCGAATTTAACAGAAGTGTACTGGCTGTCTTTTTTCTGGGCCAGCACGTTCAATATTTCTTCTACCAATGAAAAATTTGACATGCTCTGCCCTCTCCCCAGGTTCTAAAGCTTGCTGTTTTCCTGCCTGCTACAGAGATGTGTTATTTCCCTCAATAAAGACTTTGGTAGAACATTTGAAGCCCTGGGTGGTCTGTGACACTGCCCCAGAAGTGGGAATAAACACAGAACCCCTCAGACCAAGGACATACCTCACATGGAATTATCCCAGTATTGTCCTTTACATATAGGCAACCATCTACCAACTTTTCTTTGTTCTCTTGCCTTCCATCTGTGATATAGCCAACCAAGATCAGGTAAGTCCTTGGCAAAGCTGTCTGTGTGGGTAAAGCAACTTGGCCTTGACGAGCCCATTCTTTAAATTCGTTAGTGCTCCAGGTCAGGTGGCTGCAGCAGGGTATACGCTGCTGATGCTGAAGGTCAGAAATGGAGATGAAACTGGAAAAAAAAAAGAAAAAAAGAAAAAGAAAAGAAAAGCGAGAATATAGCAGGACGTAGGAAAAACTCTGTCTGCAAAGTTTAGAGATTACGGTGATCATTGCAGTGGACACTGCTTGGCTAGGTCAGAAGAGTCTTAGCACACCCAGAGTGTGGTCTGATGATATAGCATGGCAAGAACCAACTCATTCACTGGCATTTATCAGTTATCTCTCTCAACTCAGTAAACATGTCTGTTCTACTTGAGCATCCTCTCTGAAAACAATCCTTTGCTACTAAAGTTATGTGAGCAGGTATGGAGAAAATTTGAAAAGAAATAATAATGAGACTTAATAAACATGTTTTCAAGGACATGTGGGAGGTGGGAAGGAGAATAGTTACTAGTTCAAACATTTCTAGCTTGAATGGGACACTCCGTGAGAAACTCCCACAACTTGTCCACAGTTTACATATCAGTAACAAAGACAGGTGCTAAAATTGCTGAACTGTAGTAAAAATAATTTTGAACAACTTCTGGATGAAGACTGTGACAGTTTTGGAACAAATTCTCTCCTGTGGACAGTTCACACAATACAAAGCTGAGAGACAGCAAGCCAGTAATATTAGACTGGGCTTTCACTCATAAGAACAGGGCCAAGCTTAGCCCTGAATCTTTCCACCCACCCTTCTGGCTTTGGGGAGAGGGGGAAGGATGAGATGCAACATTAAATCAACCACATCTAAAGCCACAGTTTAGCATCTATCATGCTTAGACTGACTATGGTACTGAACATGGGAGAGAACAAGGCAGTATCCTCAGTGGATTCTAAACCTTTTCAGTGTTTATTATGATCATGGCAGCATTCATCATCGGTGTTTACATCCTAGCTGTCTGTGCTAGAGAATTAAGGGAAGTCCTCTGTCCATGCTAGCATCAACACTGAAAGAGCAAACACAAACTGTTCTCCAGGTAGTGACTTTAGTACTTGTTTCCAGTGAGGTTCGCTGACAATTTCAGGTTGTGAAACTGGAGCTTTATTCACAACACACACTTGCTCAGTAGCAGGACATAATCAAGTTCAGGGAGCATGAATTTGAAGAGTTTCACTTGACTAGTCAGGTGTCAAAAGTTCAAAGTCGGAAATGAATCAGCAATAAACAGAATTTAGATATTAAAAAAAAATTAATCAGAAAACATAGATTTATGCAGGTATTTGTGTATTTCACAGAAATCTGAACAGGAGATTAGCTGAAAATGTTCCATTCTCAGAGACAGAGCAGTATCAGGAAAACTGATACCTATGATCCACAAGGAGAACACGGTGCTGCTCGTATTTTTGTCAAATGTGCCGGGTGCTTTTTGGGAGAAACCCAAACTACAGCAGTACGCTGGGTCCTGATTATCACATACAGAGAACTAAACAGACTCCCTTCTGGTGCTCCAGAGCTTGGTGGTTAGTTGTAGATGTAGCATGCTGCTCACAAACAGACCACTGGCCTCATATGAGATAACTAACAAATACCTTCAACTCTTCTGTATGAATATATTCTCCTGGATCTAAACCAAACTCTGGTTTAAACATCATAAAACACATAGAAAAAATATGGCTTAGATGAGATCAGTTTAGCTGTCTTAAAAGATCTACCATCTACATTCATAAACTATTAGTACAAAATTAAAAGTCACAAGTCCCTAGTCAATTCCAATTGACCTTTGCCCCCAAACTGGCTGTGCCAAAGGTTTTAGTAGACTTTCTCCCATCATAAGTTGGAGCAAGAAAAAAACAGATCCAGAAAAGCCAAACCTTCCAATATAGATATCTCTCAACAAGCTTTATGTTTTTCGTGATGGTGAGCATCCAAAAGCCTTTCCTACCAAAATATGGACCACGTTATTCTAGAGTGCACACTTGAACGCTGACTTCGGCTGGCCAACAGCTTCGGAGACTGTACGCAGAAACATCCTCCTGGGCAGGTTGCCAGGATCCAGCCGGGAAGGTGCCGTGTAAGTGATGTGCAGAACAGCAGCTCGCCCGCGGAGAGATGCCCCACTTCGATGACACCCTCTGCCTACCGCAGACTGGTGGATACGGTGCTTACTCATACCGCAAGGGCGGCCGGGGGCGCACCGAAGCCAAAGAAAGGCGTGCGGTTACCTGTGTTCGACAACATCACTCCCACACTCGCCATCCGGGGCGGGCACCGCGCACGGACGAGCCGCGCTGAGCTCCCGGGAGGGCCGCGCATGGGCGCCGGGCCAAAAGGGGACACCCCCGGCTCCGTTCCTTCATCCCATTTCGCCCCTTCCCCTCAACTCGCTCTGCCGTCACCTGTAGCCGAGCGGCAGCGCCCCGCCGCCCGCACTCCGCAGGCACCGCAGCACCGCCTCCAGCGCCGCCGGCTCCTGCCCTTCCGGCCCCGGGAGCGCCCGGCGAGCGAAGTCCTGAGCCTCCCGCAGCCAGCGCTGCTCCTAGGGGAGAGAAGCAGAGGAGCGGGGCCTCAGCGCCAAGCGGCGGGGAGGTTTCGCGGCCGCCCCGGTCCCTCACTCACCGCCGCGCCGGGCGCCGCCATGACAGGCCGCGCGCACCGCGCCGTTGCCGTGGCGACGCGGCGGCGGGAAACGCGCAGAGGCTGCCGGGAGAGCCAAGAGCCACCGCCCCCGCGCGGCGCTTCCGCCCCTCCCGAGCGGGGTGCCGAGGAATGGGATCTCGAGGGGTTACCGGCAGAGCTCTGCCCGGGGGTTGACCACGGCTGGATGCTAGGCACCCACCAAAGCCGTTCTATCGCTCCCCTCTACAAACGGGCAGGGAAGAGAAAATAAACTGAAAGTTTCCCGTGTTGAGATACGGACAGGGAGAGATCAGTCACCGATTACCGTCCCGGGCAAAACACACTGAACTTGGGGATATTAATTGAATTTGTTACCAACAAAATCAGAGCAGGATAATTGGAAGTAAAAGAAATCTTAAAAGCACCTTCCCTCCGCCCATCCCTCCTTCCCTGGCTCTATCTTCTCCCCTCCAGCGGCGCAGGGAGATGGGGAATGGGGGTACAGTCAGTTGTTTCTGCCGATGCTCAGGGAGAGGAGTCCTTCCCCTGCTCCCGTGGGGTTCTTCCCACAGGAGATAGTCCTTCACGGACCTCTCCGGCGTGAGTCCTTCCCACGGGCAACAGTTCTCCACGAATGGCTCCAACGTGAGTCGCTTTTCCACGGGGTCAGTCCTTCAGGCACGGGCTGCTCTAGTGTGGGTCCCCCACAGGGTCACAGGTCCTACCAGGAAAACCTGCTGCAGCGTGGGCTCCTCCTCCGCAGGTCCCTGCCAGGAGCTGCTCCAGCACGAGCTTCCCACAAGCTCACAGCTGCTCCTGGGGCTCCTCCACAGGCTGCAGGTGGATCTCTGCACTCCTGTGGTCCTCCATGGGCTGCAGGGACGCAGCTGCTTCACCATGGTCTTCAGCACGGGCTGCAGGGGAACCTCAGCTCTGGTGCCTGGACCACCTCCTTCCCTCCTTCTGCACTGACCTTGGTGTTTGCAGAGCTGTTCCTCACATATTCTCATTCTGCTCTTCTCTGTCCACAGTTACATCTGCGCAATAACTTTTTTTCCTTCTTAGAATATGTTATTATGGTGGCACTACCACCATTTCTGATGGACTTGGCCTCAACCAGCAGTGTGTCTGTCTTGGAGCTGGCTGGCATTGACTCTGCCACACACAGAGGAAGCTTCTAGCAGGTTCTTACAGAAGACACTCCTGTAGCCTCCCTACTACCAAAACCTTGCTACCACGCAAACCCAATACATCTCTGCAGCCCAGGAGTAAAGTGGCCAGGCTGGAAGACAAGCTGTGTGGCAGAAGGGTGGGCTCAGTCCCTCTGGGCCTTGACACAAAGCCACAGGTCCTTGGGAAGTGCCAGAGGCCTGGCAGGCTGCAGGGTGGTGGCAGGGATGGAGGGAGGCAAGGACCTGCCAGTTCTGGCAAAAGCTAGGAAGAGGATGTGCACTCATGTGTTTGACATTAGTGTAAATGTCAATCGTGCAGCAGGCTGTCAGAATACCCTCCCCTTCCTAAGCTGCGGGAGGAGTCAAATGGGAAGGTTTGTGGGGATTTCTGTGACATTTGTGTGGTTCTAGAGAAATGGGTTTGTTTTGGTTATTTTTATTTGAAGGCTGAGGGTCCATGAAGACTGAAGGGTGTGCCTCATCCACTCACATGACAGCATGTGCTAAACCTGAAACAGACTATTAAAAATATTTCCTTCTTTGCAGAATGTGTTCGTCGGTGTGCAAGAATTTTCCCTTTAGGGTCTAATTTTGTATTGTCCTCATTCAAGGCAAGGAAACGAACAGGACAAAACTTGGTCTTTTCCACCTCTCCCCTGGAGATGGCTGCAACCTGATAAGTGGTTATTCTGCTATTTCCTTCCCTCCTGGGACTTGCAGCTAGGAAGTCAGAGCTGTTCCAAGCCTGAAGTGCGGAAAAGTGCCCTCCTTGTTTTGTCCTGTGCACGTGCCGTTGTTGGCTTCCACACAGCAGATAAGCAACTCCATAGTAGGCACAGTCAGTCTCTGGAGGTGTTTGGATTTGTCCACAGAAATTCAGGCAGTTCATGGAGTGTTTTGTACCCATTTTGGGCTTATACACATGAAATGGGCAAGTTCTTCCAAAACAACACTTTGTACCTTGATTTAATGCCTTTGACTTAGTAGAGAGATACTTGGAGAAAACAAAGGGAGGTCTAAATGGCCAATAAATGAAGGGGAGTTCTTTATCATTTAGCCTCTTATTCCTAACTGTATTTTTGTTTTTCAAACATGCTAAGAGCATATATTAAATGAAGCAGAGCTTATGCAGAATGTTATGTAGGTTTTGCTTATATTTGCACTATCAGTACAGCTGGTTCATTGGAGCATACAAGAAAATGTGTGTTTTAAATTAAAACTACAGGATGTTCATATAGACTCTAAAAATGCTGATCATGGCTGAAAAAATGCCGTTCTTTAAAATTAAGGCCGTTAAGATGCAAAAAGTCTTTTTCTTACAAGTACATGGTTAAGTTTCACACGAAAATTACGTATTTAGGATGAAACACTCCTTTGTCAAGGAATTTTAAGATTGCAGTGAACCTCCTCCGACTCCTCTCCCGTGTGTTTTGTAGCAGTTTTAGCCATCCGTTGCTTTTCTTCAGCTTATCTACCTCGGTTTTTACGGAAAACTGCCGACGCCAGCCTGTGCGCGGCGGAGGGCGGGAGGGGCGCGGCGCCGCTCCGGGCCGCCTCCCGCTCGCCGCTCTCTTTCCTGCTGCCGCTGCCAGGAAGTTGGAGAAGGGGTAGTCACTCTCCGCGCTGCTCCGGCCGGGGCTGCGTAGGGCTGGGACGGCTTCCTCTGGAGTTGGGGGGCCCTGCCATGGGGATGTAGCGGGCCGCGGAGCCATGCGCGCCCCGGCGCTGCCCCGCACCTCGCTGGGGACGGTAAGTCACGGCGAGGACTTCGCCGCTCTCGGCGGAGCGGGACCGTGCGCCGGCGGGGCACCGCCTCGCCAGGCAACTGCTCCGGTCCCCCGGACCTGCGGGCGACTGCGAGTCTGCAAAGCGGTGCCCGCCGCCGAGCTTTGGGGCCGGGGCTCCCTTCGACCCTCCTCGCCGCCGTAGGGCTCCGCATCGCTGCCGCTCTCCGGACAGCCCGCTTTCTGCTCGCCCTCTCCGGGGGGCTGTGGCTTCCATCCCGGCAGCCCCGCGCCGGGGCGGAGACGGGGGCGACGGGGCTCGGTGAGTCCGCGGCGGGGCGAGGCGGGCGGTCGAGGCTGCTGCCGGAGCGGCAGGAGCGACGGTAACGGGTCGGGAAGCCGAGCCGCGCCATCAGCTGGGCACCCGCGGCGTCACCGGGCAGCGGGACCGCGGCGAGCCCGGTGGGGCTCGCTGCCTCCCTCCCTCCGCTCCCCGCCCTCCGCTGGGCACAGACTTCGCCGGCGCCGTTTCCGGGACTTATTCCTGAGTCAGGGAAAAGGCGTCTGGGCTTACAGGAGAGGCGGCGGATTCTCCGGAGCCCGCGGCGCAGCCGTTAACTCGCGGGGCGCGGGGCGGTCCGGGGCTCGCCGGGAGCACGGAGCCGGCCGGGCTGGGATCGCTGGAATCGCATCCGCTCCGCTCCCGCCGCCGCCATGGGGGAGACGGAGACGAACCGCCCCCGCCTTGCGGGCGTTTAAAGATTAGGGGTCCGCGGCTATGTCCCAAACCACGGGATTTGGATACAAGCAAGTTCAGCTTTGCCGGTAAATCTTCTTTAGCCTTCTTGGGCATCTTAGGGCAAGACTTTTAAGATGCTCGTTGTAATTTTGTGTGCGAAAAAGTTGTAAAAGAAATCTGAGAGTTTTATGAATGACCTGTTTGCTAGACATGAATGGCCATCCGGTATTAGCAGAGGTGTGATACATCTGTAACAGTAGGGGTGGCATCACTCAGCATCATGACATGGCTATAAATTCTGCTGTAGAGGCTACAAGGTCAAACGGTTTATACCTAAATACCTGAGCATCCTAGTAACACACTTTCACTTGGCTGCACTGGACTTGTAATGCTGGGTTAGTGGTTAATTTGCTGTCAGAAAGTTGCAACTATGTCACTCAATGTTACCTTCTTCCAGAAGAGTGTGTTTTGTTTTGTTTTGTTTTTTTTCTGCTTGGAAAGTTTGGAAACCAGGTAATAAGACATCTAGCACTGGCAGGACAACACAACTAAAACTTTGGAGTAGGAGCACTCTACACCTTGGCTCTAACTGTGGATCACTTACCATCTTGGGACCTAGGTAGGGTACATAAACTGTTGATGTACGGGTAGATTTCAAAGTTAGCAAACCTGAAAAAGTGTATTTCTGGTTTATGAATAGTGGTGCACACATTTCACTGTAACTCAGATACTATATGTGATATTATTCATATTACTGACAATAAAATGCAAAAAAAAAATAATTGGATTCCTCAAAAATAATTGGATTCCTCAAATTAATTGTATATGCTGGAGGAAGTGTCCTTCAGTGGGATATCTTTTTGAGGAAATTTCCCCCCTCCTATTTGCTTGTCATTTCAAGTTCTCAATACCAGCGTACTCCCTACAGATAATGTTTATCTTTTCCATAAAATCATATTATTTTTTTCAGTGTTACAATTC